TAGACATGCTAGGAACAAAAAAATGGGGGTAATCATTGTTAAAAATCGATTTAAAAATTTTAATAATAATCAATGAAAACAATTAACCTGTGAATAAAAATATTAATTTGTTGATAATTTTTTTTTTTCAATCGTTTTTTCTTATAGTTCAACTCTTTAGCTACGAAAGTGCCATTGGTGAAAATTTTATAACTCTTATGAAGTCGGAGCTATACATTGTTTAAAACGAGTCTCTAACCACGATTATGAAATTTGTTATAACTCATAAAATCGAAATTAGGCGATAAAAAAAATCCCTCTAAACACGTATCTCTTATTTTTGAATATAGAAACTGGAAAAAAATGTTCAGGTGAATCAGAGAGGTGAAGGTCGAAATCTGTTTGATTTGTAAAAGAATTAGCCATATGGATTCATCCATTATTTCTCATCTGCTTCATTAAAATTTACTTTTAAATAATACCGTCTTATCTACATGATTTATCTCATAGTCAAGAAAAAATTTGAAAGTCATTGATTTTGAGGGATCGTTGTGGAAAGGGTCATTATAATTAAATATTAAATTATAAAGTTATCTGTTGTAACATATAGTAACCTGTGTGGGGCATTCTAAGCAACGTTTCACCGTATAAATCTATTTATATTGGTAGTTAAAAGATTACTTATTTATTGGGCTGATGTCGAGTTGTGGCTCGAGTGAAAGTAAGCGTTTAATCAGTGTCGAGTTGCGGTTGAGCAATAAGCTTCGTTTTTTTAATGTATGTCGAATTGCGGCTGGCCTTTTCTTATCTCCTCTCGAATTGCGGTTACTGTTATTATTTTCGTATTTGTTTATAGTATTTATTATATTACATCGACGTCAATTTGAATAGTGATGTATGTACAAACTACCTTAAGAATAATATTGCCAGTCAGTTTTGCGTTTACTGAGCCAGCAAGAAGACGCAAATATTCACCAGTCATCTATTAATCCTTTTTTTTCATTTAACTACTGTTTTTTGAAAAATGGAGTTCCGTACAAGTGAGGAAGGACGAAATCTTGTATATATTAATGAATACAGTTACAGATTCGAAACAGTTTTGTGCAACGAAGAAGAGCGTTGGGTTTGTACTCAAAAAAATTGCAAAAGTTTTTTAAAGCTTAACTCACATTATGACCTCATCGAACACGAAGAAAAACACAGTCATAATCCTGTCCAAGAGGCTATAGCTTAGTGTGAAACGCAAAGCATTGAACGATATTTCGACTCGACCGTCTAATCAAGAGCTTCCTTCAGCATACTTGAACTTATTTACGTTTGTATCGTTACTCTAGAATGTTCCATCAGAAGTGTATGTAAAAATGCGAAGTAGTGGGGTAAAATCAAAGACGACGCAAGGAAAAGAAAACTTCTTCAGACTTTTTACGATATCGACAAGAAGTAAGCACTCGATTTAGTTTTATAAAAACTGAATCCAAAAAATTGTTACTTGTGTGATTGTATATATGCTGAAAAGACCGAGATGACCCTAACACACTTATTTATTCATTGCACAAAAATAAAATTTTTTAAACATGCCAGTTTTAGAACTGCCACTCCGAAGCCTAGGTAAAGTGTGACGGAAAAATGTCGTTATATATCATTTAGTAATGGGACTGTTACTCAGCCGCAATTTGACAGTAGATAAGAAAAGGCCCAGCCGCAATTCGACATACATTAGAAAACGAAGCTGATCGTTCAGCCGCAACTCGACAGCTTTTCTCTTTCCAGCCGCAATTCGACATTTGCGATTCATTTATATTTAACTCAAAGTCTTTCAATGAAAATATCATTTAATACGTCATAAAAATGGTATGTCATACATATTTTTGTACTATTAAAATACTCATTTGTGGAGAATGTGAACTAATAGGAACATCTTTTTTTTACAATAAATTTTTTTTTCATTTGTTTTTCCACACCGCTTGGATAGCAAATAGATTGACTTGATACATCTGAATAATTATTAACCATTTTATTTATACAAATAAAAGAACGATTAAAAACCAATTTATATCAATTGTATTTTAATTTATTTGTAAGTATAAAGTTCTTGATACGCTGAATTCTTGTTTTGTTAGCATTTATGATAAATTATGTATAAAATATTAGTTTTTATGTGTATGTATAATATTATTTTGTATATGTGTTGATAAAACCAATAAATACATAAATTCAAATTACATTCATTTTATCATTAAAAGAAACCGTGGATACTCCACAATAAGATGACTTATTTTATGAGTCAACTTATAAAGCCGTATTAAATTACGAAGATTTGAGTTTATTCCTATTTTATTTTAAACGAATGTTAAAATTGGAACAATATATAAACTTAATATACATTCATAGGATGTATTGTTAGGTGATGAATTTTGTTTATACATATAAAAATATTTAAATTATGTTATTAGAAGATACATTATAACTAATAGTCACCAGTAAAGTAAGGAAAGTAACAAGGATTGAAACGAATTTGGTGCACTTGTTCTTTTCTTAATTGTTTTTTCGGCATCTTGATAAGGTAAGCACTCGCACACGTAAATATGATCAATAACTAAGGATTTTTCCAATCTGAAAAACAACAAGAGCAAGAACTTAACAATTAACATATACAATGAGAAAAATCAGGCTTTTAGGGTGAGAAAAAATTATTACAAACAGCACTAACGACAATCAGTAAAAGCAGGCGAGCAGATAATTCAACACGCATTAGATTAGGCACTAGTACTGTTGGATATTTAGGATGCATTTTAATGGAGTCTGTCATTTTGCAGAATGCCAGAATCCCGCCAATTTTAAATTTTTTGAAATATTTATTTTTTATGTCATTCAATTATTTTTATGTTAACTCAAAGAAAAATTGATTTACTATTATCTACTAATTAGAAATTACTTATATTACGCTAAATGCAGGATAAAACGGGGCAAATATCATATTATAAATGTTAAGTGAGCAGGGAATAATTTTTGGTCAGAAGGTGCTTACCTTGACATAGCCTGACTAGACAAAATTTTGATATTCCTTACTTGACACATTTTATTCTCATTATGTGTTGATGTAATTATTATTATAATATACAAAAAAGAGCAAATTAGTTTTTTCAAGTGTTGCATGTTACAAAGGTGTAAGATTTGTTAAATAGTTGCCATTTGTATTAAATAAATTTAAAAAAGTTATGTCAGAAAATTCTAGACAGAAAAGTAGTAGATCTTTTTATTATTTACAACTTTTACATTTAATTTTTTTCGATACAAGCCATAAATTTCGTTGTAACACGGAAAAACTGTAATTTCTCACGTGTTGC